ACACACACACACACACACACACACACGTACACTTACAAACACACACACACAAACAAAAAACCCCACACAAACACGTACAGACACACACATATACACACACACACGCACACACATACACACACAACACACACATGGACACACACACACAGACAAACACACATATATATCCACAAACACACACACAGACACACAGACACACATACACACACACGCACACGTACACATACACACACAGACACTCACGCACAAACACACACAAACACACACAGACACGCACACACATACACAAACGCACAGACAAACACACACACAGATACACGTACACACACACAAACACACTCACAGACAAACACACGTACAGACACACACATATACACACACGCACACACACACGCACACACATACACGCACAACATACACACGGACACGCACACAGACACACACACATATACACCCACAAACACCCACAGACACGCACACACATACACACACATACACAAACGCACAGACAAACACCCGCACAGACACACGTACACACACACACACACACACACACACACACAAACACAGACACTGACAAATACACGCACAGACAAACACAAACACAAACACACACTCAAACACATACACACACAAACAACAATATTAAAGAACATGGAACCTTTAGGCCCCAAGACCCTGAACATCTGTGTCTACAATCTGGTGCTGATAGGAGATTGGTGTAATAAAAATAATAATCAAAGCGAGGATAATAAGAACGATAGGCCTTATAATAATAGCAATAATATAATAACAATGATAACTACAATAACGCTAACGATGATAATGGCAACAACGATAAGGATAACAACAGTAATACTACTACTACTACTACTACTACTACTACTACTACTACTACTACTACTACTACTACTACTAAAATAATAATAATCATCATGATCATCATCATCATCATCATCTTCATCATTATCATCTTCATCATCATCATCATTATTTAGCGCACATCCCAGCTCTTCAGTGTGCCAGTTGTTGTGGTTTATAACTACAGGTAGGTTCAATAACGATACAAGTCCCAGACAACACGGTCATATTCATGGACAGGAGGAGGAATTATTCAGCTGATCGCTAGTCTAGTGGCCCTTTCTCCACCTGCGCACGGTATGCAGAGGTAGGCTACAGATACATCTTGACACATCTCATTGCCCCGGGGACGGAACGAGAGAGGGAGGGAGGGAGTGGGGA